CTCCCTTTCCGAATCGACACAAGTTAGATACTCGTATTTTGGGTATTTTTGGAGTCGGGCTGCTTCGACACTGCTTGTCACTGCCAACCTGGGGTCAGAGTAGTACAACACCTCGACAGACAGAGATATTTATAAAAGAAATAAAAGCACGAAAAAACTTATCCACTGGGGAATCGAACCCACGTTTTCTGCGAGCAACGACTAAGAGCCTACCCGCCATCTACAGACGCTGATTTAGACGTAGATATATCACTGGTCAGGAAAGGATCTACAGCTGTATTTAAAATGTGACTGTCCGTTTATCGGTTAGTTGGTGCTGCCCGCTGTCGTTTGTACGAGACATTAGTGTTTGTAACACCTTTTCTTTCCACCTGGAGGCACACACGTGGGCGTGTTTGATTATAGGTGTGTGTGTGTGTGTGTGTGTGTGTGTGTGTGTGTGTGTGTGTGTGTGTGTGTGTGTGTGTGTGTGTGTGCTCGCGTATGTATTCTTATGGGTTATTTGTTTTTGTCTAATTTTTGGGGGTCTTTTTGGAGGGAGATGGTGTGGGTTGGGCTAGAATGTCAGTAAACAAACTTCCTCCATACGTGTCAAACAGACATTGTTTCGTTCCGAATTGACCTCCACCATTTTCTGGACTATTGGTGCATCAGTAGCCTCACGCTGAAAAGAAAAGAATATTCAAAAGTATGCTGCAAAGGAACTAACATTCAGAAGTATGCTGCAAAGGAATTAACATTCAAATGTATGGTGCAAAGGAATGATGATTATGCTCTGGAAATGAATGAACCTTTAAAAAGTACGCTGAAAAGGAATGTACATTCTAAGGTTTGCTCTAAAAGTGAATAAACATTCAAAAGTTTGCTCTGAAAAGGAATTAACTTTCAAAAGTATGCTCAGAAAAGAAATAAACCTTCAAAAGTAGGCTGAAAAAGGAATGAGCATTCGAAAAATTGCTGAAAAAGGAAAGCCAATTCAAACGTGTGATCTGTAAAGGAATAACCATTCAAAAGTGTTCTCTGAAAATGGACGAATATTCTAAAGTATGTTGAAAAGAAATAAACATTCGAAAGAAATAACGTTTGAAATTGTGTGTCCACAGCTGCACTTTCAGACAATCATGCCGGCATGAAAGACCATGATGGGCATGCCCATGAAATGATGAGTAGTCAGGAGCTGCAGGACAAGATCAAGGTAAAGTATGAAGAATAATATTAATATATTAAGATTCCGGCATAGGCTTGGGAAAAAATAACACTCTCCTTCTCTGTCTTTTGTTTGTCTGTCTGTTTTTCTCTTTTTTCTTTATTTCTCTCTCCCTTTATCTCCATCTCTTTCTTTCGCTTTTTCTTTCTTTCGTTTTTCTCTCTCTATTCCACTCGCTCTGTCTGCCTGTCTGTCTGTCTCTGCTGCTCTATCTATCTCTATAAATCTCCTCACCCCCCCTCTCTCTCTCTCTCTTTCTCTCTCTCTCTCTCGCTCTCTCTCTCTCTCTCTCTCTCTCTCTCTCTCTCTCTCTCTCTCTCTCTC